CCACCCCCAAACCAGAAGGAAAGCCGAACCCCCGGGGCAGCAACATTTTTATCCATGTAGCTAAGTCTGGAAAAAGATAATTATAAAAAAAACCCCAAACGTGAAAAAAAAGAAACAGAAAAAAAAATCCCCAAAAAGGTTCAAACGGGAAAAAAGACACCAAGCCTTTCCCGTGGGGGGCCAAACCCCCCCCCAAATTTTTTTTTTTTTTTTTTTTTTGGGGGGGGGGGGGGTTCGGCCCCTACGTGAAGATGATCATGATCTCAAACCTGGTTCCTTATTACACCCGGGTATTATCCTCACTGTCCACGGCGGCTCACAGTTCACGCATCGCGGTAGCATTGCTATAACTTGTTCCTACAAAAGGGAAAGCACTAGAGTATCCTTCTATGCCCAGCCATCATCGGTCTCCAGTCTTCCACTGACTTGAAGCTATTCATATGCAACTTTACTATTCACGAAAACGAGACCCACCCTGCACCAATACAGCTTGCAAGAAGTAACCCATGAAAAAGACAAATAGCACGTGATCAGTTAGTATCTCGAATGCTTCAACGCAGTGGAAAGGTTCCAAGGCGAATACCACATAGTCCTTGAACCAAGTTTACTCCCAACTGTCGATCCCACGAGGCGTGTGACAATCAGCCTCAAAGACGACATCAATAAGGAACTACACAAGAAATGTCATTATAGCGAAGATCGAAAAAAGGGAATTGACACAATGGTTTAACAGCTTTGTTTACCGCCGCAAACAGAACGGAAGGTTGCGGCTCCACCTGAACGCCAAAGACCTCAATGCAGCTATTCAGATTAAACATCATGTCACTCTCACCCTAGAAGAGATCCTAGTATACCTGAAGGATGCTAAAGTATTTTCTATAAGGGAGAAAAAATGCGGATACCGAAACGTGGTCCCGGGAAAAGAGTCTATTAACCTCACTACATTTGAGAGATACAGGTTCAGACGCATGCCCTTTAGCCTCAAAATGTCTCAAGAGGTCTT